GTTGGTTTGTTGGTTTGTTGTTTTGGTTCTCTCTGGTATCTTGTGGTAGTTTGTTTTGGCCAGTGCTGATCCAGCGGATGTATTCTATCGAAAGAATTCCTACACTTAAACTTTGGCTTAAAACGGGATTTTGAGTTGAGCTCTGCTTCACTAAATGGTGCTTAACAAATAACTGATGTGTAAAGAAAATCCTATTGGAAAGGACTAGTGTCAATTCAGTTTGAAATAGCATAACAATGATTTAAGCTCTAATTAAACTCGACGGAGTCTGTCCTTGTCCAGTTGTATCCGAACTCTAATTGAACTTCAAAGTTGTATTTGGCAAGGAATTTCTACATCATTAAAGATCATGATATAGGTTCCAATTGGTAGTTGCGTACTGAGTTGTACTTTCATTCATTTCAATATCTGAATCTTAGAGAGCGGCCGGCGGCCGTGGGCAAATATGTGAATTTAGTATGACAAATGCTACAAGACACGGTGTTTTACGGTGTTTTCTGCCATGGATAGTGATGGGGCTAGGTAGACATACGATTTTTGGCCCTCTTCTGAATTCCATCCTTGTGAAATATATCTATGTATATGTGTATATATAAATATATGTATTTATGTACCTTGAATAGGAAATAATCAATCAACATGTCCATGTTAAATTAGAACGTAATAATAATCATTGTGATTCTTCCAAAGCATTCAAAACAAGCTCAACATAGGCAAAAGCAAGTGCAAACGGATACAAAACACCGCCAGCCCTCCGCCTGGGGCACGCAGTCGAACCAGCCGGCCGTGTCCGGAGTGCCGGCCAGGAGTTGCGTGAAGAGCACCGCGTAGATGTACACCACCAAGAGCCTTGCCATAGCTCGTCATGGAAGACCCCCCAAAATGGCTTCAGTTCTCCTTGTGGATACACCCAAATGGGCGCCGTTTTTGAGGGAACCACCTTTTGAGAGGGAAACATCGTTGCCATGTTGGTGTTGTTTTGAGACACGGCCACATGATCTTAAAAAATCCCCCCAAGTTATATAAGCCATTCCAGGAAGTTAAACCGTTCTGGGAAATTCATATCAACCGGTCATGCCGGCATCCCAGTTCCACACGGATGCAAAAAATGCTGGCGGGAAGACACGCAGGATACCAATTTTCCAGGGGCTGAAGAATGTCAAAGTGCTACAAGACCCCCATGGGGAAGGAACAACCAGATTTGCTGCGACTAAACTATTTTAACCTGCTAAAACTGGGTGCGAAAAAGGATGTTTGAAAAACTTTGACAAATTAACCATGCCGCTCATGCCGCTTCTTTGGGTAAACAACTACAAAACCAAGAATACGTGGGCCATCTAGCATCCGGCTCTGACTCTTCCGACCCCGTGCTTCAGCTCACTTCCGCCGCGCTGCAGCATCGCCAGAAGTGTGGAGGTGGACCGCATGGCGATCCTCGGCCAAAGGCCGAAGCTGCGGCTGGAACGGCGGAGCACCGCCCAATGAGAATTCGTCGCTGGAGTACCCAAAAAAAACGAAGCACGCGGTCCATGGAATAAAACACACGCAACGATGCTGCCCTCAGAATATCCACTTACCCGCTCCCGCAGAAAGTATTTGCTTGAGGCTGCTCCCCAACCCTGAACTAGGGACGCTCCTTTTTCTGGAGCCAAGCGCAACATCAAGTCGGAACCCCTTTAAACAACCCTACTGCACGCACAACTGCTGACTTAGGAGTATGTAACGTATGTAACTTCCCCGCTTGCTGGCGTTGCCATATCCCGTAGAATAATGACTCCCCCCCCTTCTCCGTGGAGGCTACACACGCGCGTTGGCCGCGCAAGGGGCTGCGGCTAGCAGGGAAGTAAGTTCAACACTTGCACTTTTCACGCATGATTCACTTTGCTTTGTCGCGAAGGGCCTAATCAATCCGCAAAAGGAAAAGAGACCTACCCCAAATGGTGGTTTTCCTTCTGGAGTTCCTCCAAACAATGGGTAACCATACAAAAGGGGCACACCCAAACGTGATCTTGCCAACGTCCGTCTGGTTCTCGTGGCTCACATTCGGCGCCGGGGCGCGCCATGCCCTGCACCAAGACCCGGAGCTCGGGCAGCGAGTTGATGATCCGCGCGGCCCGGGCCACCCGGAAGATCCTGGGGCGGGGCGCTGTGGGGGCGCGGTTGGGGCGGGGGAGGGTTGCTCTCGGAGGGGAAAACCGCGCCGCAGGAGGTACATGGAAAATTCAGAGCTGGTTAGGTGCCGTGGCAACGAGGGAATCTAATGTATACCGTGTCCCGCAACCAGGCAAGAGTCACGCAACGAGACCCCTAAACCCTTTTACTGTTGGTTCCCAGATGGTTTTATGCAACAACAGTTTATATTGGCCAAAACATTTCAACCTCACGAAACCAGGTGAAACCACCTGGAGTGCCCACAGCTTAAAGGGGCTCTCGCTCTCAGACGGCTCCTCAGGATCCGCAAAATCCGCAGGATCGTGAAGCTCCGCACCTCAGATGCGGGGTCCGAAGCCCGAAGCCCGAAGCCCCAAGCCCTGGGCGAAGTCTGGGCTCGGTTTTTGCTCTCTGAAAGCATGTGGCTCGTCGAGTTTTTTCAGGGAGTCTCCCCAATTTTGTTTGGTTTGCTTCTTTTTCTTCTCGGGACCACCAAACGGAAGACCACCATTTGGCAGACACCCCTCATGGGTTGAAACTGTCGCGGAAGTCGCAAAAACCTGCAAAAACCCGGGAAACCATACAAAGCCGAGCCGAGGTGGGGGCTGTGAACATACAAAACCGCAGCTGGGCCGGTTGGATTTCCCCTTCGCCAGTGAAGGCCCCTCTGTAAACGTGTAGCCCTTTCCATACCCGTAGCCGCAAGCCGTTCGGGGTTTACCCAAGGAGGCAAAAGGTTCTGTACACCCCAGCTACCTCCCTCTTTTGAATGGTGCTCCCCAGACAGGGTACGGCTTTGACGAAAGGCTCGCGACCCAGTTGCAACTCCATTCTTCAAATACACGAGCCCAAGTTGAAGTCCTTAGGATGAACCCAATGATGGCACACAGGGAAGACATTTAGGGAGCCAATCCCCCCTCCCATTCCCCCAATCTTACCCTCCATCCCAACGTGTTGCATAGTTCGCGAAACCAAATCTACAGCATATTCTTTTCTGATCCCCCACCCCACCACCCCACCCGAAGATCCGCCTTTTCCGGGTTGGTTGAGTAGATTCCAGCTGAGCGCGGCACCCCGGAGTGCACTACGCTGCCGGAGAAGAGGTGGATCAGGAGCGTCACCCTCAGCACATGCTGTCTAGGAGATGCTTTGCAGGTTCATCTGGTTTATATCCGCTGCAGGATGTGCGAAATAGATGGTTCTGGGGGTTCTGAGCCAGTTCGGATCATTTGGTCTTGGGTGCCCGACCCTGGCTTCCGCCGGCATGGACAGCAAGGCGTTCACCCAATGATCAACTTCATAGGCTCAACCCAGCAACTTGCATGCTCAAAAGCTAGCTAGCGAGCGGGTGAAAGTGGTCCAAGCGTGAAGAGCTGAGCAAGTTTTAAGCGTCCTTGCTGGAAAAGCGGGGTGGTGTCAGGAATTGGAGCCCTCCAGAACCGCCTGCCGCCTTGCCTTTGCTTCCCTTCGAACACCGCATCTCTTTTTCCAAGCTTTCCCCCAAGCCCTGCCCGAAAAGGTGGAGACTGAATTGGGAGTGGGTACATATGGGGGGTCAAGGCTGAAGTGCCATGTTGGTTTGTATGGCCGGGCAGGGAAATCTGTGATGCTTGGACAAAATGAGAGGTTGACCTTTCCACCGAACAACTTCGCAAAGCCGCTTTTTGGCAGGCGCTCTCCTTGTGGTTTTGCTTTCAACAAGCCCAAAACGATTGCGGGCAAGGCGAAAAAGGCACTGACGCCTCCGGTGTTCTTTGCCCAGGTTTTGGATGTGCAAACCGCCATTTGGAAAAGCAGCAGCTGAGTTGCATTGTCTCAGGCAAGCAATTCCAGAGTTTGACTTGAGATGTGCAAACCGCCATTTAGAGGGGTCGGTCCCCATTGTGACACGTGCATCTCTTGGTTTTGCAGCACTGAAGGCACGCCTTGCCCGATCGGGGAAGTCAATGGACCTTTTTGAGGCTGCACCTTTCGGGGTCTTTGGGGTTGAACCAAAACGGGAGTGCAAAGGTTCAAGTTCCCTGCAAGGCGCGGTGCTGTTTTGGCGGAAAACCCGCCAAATGGCCGGCGGGAACCCGCAGTGGGCCCCGCGCTGGGCCGAAGCTTTGCTCCCAAAGTTCTGGAAGCTTGGAAGGGGTGTTGATCAGAAAAAAACGGGCCTCGTTTTTGGGACCTTGGCCCCCAGAGCGCAAAAGAAAATGATGAACGTTGGGTTCCTTTTTCTCATGGCCAGGTTTATATGGCCCGCACTGTCCCAAACCAGGAACCAGAACCTCATGCCAAAGTGGCCGATTGAGCAGCGCGCTGACTTTTGGTTCTAAGATGTAAAGTTTGTGTAGCCCCACCCCCCCATTTCACCATGTGGCAACCGAACTAAACGGCTGGCCTACCCAATTTTGACGCCGTGTTATTCGGGTCTTCACAGGGAAACTAGAACTTGGAAAACTAGAACAGGGAAACTAGAACTTGTTGCCATTGGATGTCAATGGTGTATTTTTACCTGTCCCGTTTCCCCGAAAAGGGAAAACCGAGCCTCAAAGACGCAAGGTCACAGGTAGGTTAACCGAGGCACCAGGTGTCCCAGATCATCATCACCGTCAAAGAGGCGTCGAAGAGGAACCACCCATCCTCCGTGCAACTGAACCCATCTTTGCCCAAAGCCTACAATTTCATCCCAAAGTAGCCAAGTGTCACTGGAGTCACTGGGGTTGTCTTTCCAAAAGGGATGGGATGAATCAAATTCCAGAGATCGCCCCTTCCCCCAACCCCATCTTCAACGGGTGGGGACAATGCGGAATTGATCCAGACACCTCCCACCACCAACTCAGAGGAAGGTATACACCACAACAAGGCCATGGCTCGTTTAACGACCCCTGAGGTGTTGAGCGTTGGACCAAAAAGTCTCGGCACAACCCCACGAAAATGTGTGAGCATAAAGCAGCAGTGACACAGAAATCGCCACATTCGATGCATGGCAAAACTGTTGTGTTATGCTAAACACAACACCGAGTCAAAGACGCCTCCTGGAAAAGACACCAGACAAAGTTTGTCTCTGGGCTATCTCGCCACAAGTCCCGATGCTTTACACAAGTCCCGGTCCTGCGCGTGAAAGAAAAGGTCCAAGTGTGCGCGTCAAAGTGCTTGCCATTGCAAGTGCATTGTTGTACGTGTTTTTTTAGCGCATCGGCCAGTGTAAATGTATTCAAAGAGGAAAGCACCTGAACATGCTCATTTTCATGTTGGCCAATATCCAAAATATCTTAAACAGAGGGTCGCTAACAAAGGCGTTGGCGCAAAGTTCGTGTAGAGAATGATATAGCTAGTTTCTTGGAGACGTATCCATCCAGGGTTCTATGTGTTGGCTACTGCAGGATACATATATATATATAAGAAAAATGAGCGTTGCACACTTGTTCTCGGTTTTGAACCCACCCACCCACCATCTGGGTCAATAACTCACCGTGAAAGACATGGACGCTTTAGATTTCGGACGCTTCTTGTGGGAAATTCGTTGAGACACGCTTTTCCAGCCAAAGTTGACCCAAGAGGACACAAGACAATTGGGCTGTCTACTTGTTGTGGGAATTCTGGGGACGGTCCGCCCACCAACGGGAAAACCAAGATGTCAGCTGCTCATAGGTTTTTAATCCAGGGAGGGTCGCAAAAAGTGAAGACATGCCCATTCCTTTTATAGTTTCTGTTGAGCAAAAGAGCTGATACGAGGTGTTTGGGTGCGTGTTTTTTTTTTTGTGTACATCATCTAGGTGGATTCATGCCCACCAATTTTTGAGGTGGTCCTCTAGCCTATTCTCCAGGGGTTCTTGTACATACCCCTTTTACGTACCCCTTGGAAAAATGAACCCAAAAGGCCTGCTGATGTTCATACCCCTCTCCCAAAAGGGGTATATACCCCTTAGAAAGTGGGTTGGAAACCAGGGAAGCCAAGGGGTATGAACAAGGGGTATGTACTTCCACCCTTAGATATTCAATATGATATGCTGGCTGAGTGTCCATGGCAGAGGACCAAGTCTTCAAAGACGAAATCCGGACCACCATCTCAAAGGTGAAGAAGGCGCAGAAGAGATTTTCCACGATCCTCAGAAAATCCGAGCGATCACTCCGGGTAACTTTTCCCATTTTTAGGGATGCTTCAAGAAGCCACAATGAACGGGGGCAACAGCTGGTTTTGGAAAGGACTTGTTCTCAAGAACCTCGTCCCCTACACGGGAATCCACCATTCGAATTTGAAAGGACTTCTTTCGTGGCTTGCCTCCATCAGATTCGTATCCAAAAAGGACCTCTTCCGACTGTGGGCCATGAATCCGAAGTGAACATTCTGGCTCATCTTCAAGCTAATCCTGCCCAAAAACACCTCCATGATTGGTCTGTGCTGGTCTTCCACAAGGGGTTTTGTCTGGGGCAGTCGCGTGCCTGGGAAAGTTTAAGTGTGTCCTCGTGTGGCCGAGATCCCGAAAGTTACTTCAGTCATGGATGGATGCCAAGGTTCGATGCCCCCTTCGGGGTTTGAATCGAACACCCTCAAAGAAAACCTCGGTGAAATTCTCGCCTCAGGATCCTATTCGCAACAAACGACGTTGTCGTCTTGGTTGAACAATTCTGCAGCGAAACCTGGAACTTGATTAGAGTAAATTCAGCGATTTCCTGGGGCCTTGTCGGAAGTCATATCGCCCAGCACAGAGCCTTTTAAGGCCCAGGGCTTCAATGGGACTCTTCGGTTCACAAAGTGTCCAAAAGCTTACACAGAAAACCCAGGCGGACCAGTCTCGGAGATTTGAGACTTGGGCGTTCTGAGGGCCTGGCTGAAAGGGCAGCGGCGCTTCCCACAAGACGTTGGCCTTGTTCAAGTCGATGTCCACAGCGATCCTTGGCACTCACGGAGTCGCGGAGTCGCGTTGTTCGAGATGTGGACGAGTCCATCCCGGAGAAACGAACGAAACGAAATCCCCGTGTTTGCCGGCCATGGAAATGTCCATTTCAAAGCAGCAAACGCTTGCTGTGCTCCATGTTCTTTATCCCAGCCGGGCCGGGGAAGAAAAAACGGCCAGGTACCACGAATTACGATGGCCAATAGGGCCTACATTGGTATTGCGAGTGAAACGAAACCTCGTGTCTCTTGTTTTGACCCACGCCGCGCGACAGCCAATAGGCCCTCCATCTCGACCAAAGCCCCCGAAGCCCCCGAAGCCCCCGAAGCCAGGGGGCCAAATGGAGTTGGAGATGATCACCACCTGCGCGGAAAGTCGGCTTCTCGCTCCAACCGAAATTCCGCCTCATCTTGCGGGAAAAACCCGGAGTCACTGGAGTACCCCAAATCCATGTGATCAAGTTGCAGGTGTCTCTCCTTTCCAGGACTTTTTTCTCCAAGAAGCTGAGCCAAATTGGAAGCTGGCCTACCAGGTTCCTTTGTTCCAGCCTGAGAACTTGAAGTGCCACTGATTGGTGGCTGCAACATCCAATTCGAACCGGAGCCAAGGAATCCCCAAAGGCACCCAAACGGCAACGCACGCGGTGTCGGGCTTGGGCCAACCACTTGGTTGAACCAATGTGGTCTAAACAGTTTTGGGGTTCCCTAAGAAAACAAATGTCTCGTTTCCCAAACCATGGATGTTGCTCTCAAGTTTGCACTTTACCCCAAAAAAGATGTCCTGGTTGCTGGAGAAAAAACGCCCCTGGCGATGCAGGGCCACTCCATTGACTCATCGACCCCCCATCCCGCCAGCGTCGCTGCATTGAACAGGGAGCTGCCTGCGCATCGTTTCGGCGTAGCCGCGGCGCGACGCATGCGGGACGATGCGGCCGCAAGGGACCCTACCAACACCCCGAAGCTTGAAGGGAGCCTGAAATAGGCCGAGTCTTGTCGGCAGGTTCTTTGGTATATATTTGTTTTGGGGGGGGGCTCGGACCGAAAAAGAATGCAAAAGACGCGCGCAAGTCGCAGCAGAAGTCCAAGTCGGAGGAACTTGCTAAGCTACTCCCCTGCAACTTAACATGAAACCCAAAAATACTGGTCCCCCAAAAGGATACACATTTACAAACGGTGGGTTTGAGGTTCCACCGACGCAAGCCAAGACTCAAGATCCCCCGAGAAAGGACCTATCATGGGTGTTCACTCATTCTACCCCGAATCGGTGAGCTCGAAACCAATGAAATGGGGGCAACCATAATGTGTTCCTCATATCTTGGTCAATAAGTTGACTGTTTCTGGGACTTGTCAAAGTCAACTGGGGGTATTCTAAGCAACCGGGTGTGTTCAAGGTCCAATTTTAGGTGTTGCAGATGGCTGAAGAGACTGCCTCATGGGCTGGCCAGGGACAGCTTCGACCAACAAGCAAAACCGGTTGACCTTGCAGTTTTGACCTTGGAGAACTTGGCTGTGGATCTCGCGGCAAGCCATGTGCACTTCGGGCGAAAAAGCATGGATAGCCCTCCCCGAGAAAGTTGCTGTCGCCAAAGAAAAGTATTTGGTTCTGAGAACTGCTCATGCTGGTCACTGCCCATACACGTGGGCCATGGCTTTTTGCTGCACCCATACAGGGCGATTTGGTTGTGGGAACGAGGCCGGGGATAGTCTCTGCTGACTCACAATCAATGTCAGGCACGCTGTGCCTACTTTCGGGTGACTCCAATGCTGTTGTACCGTCTCCAAGCCCTTGCGGCATGCTCTTCGCGTACGCAGTCTCCCAAAGCGGCCCTTTGGAGACTTTGCTCGCCGTTTTCCGGTTGATCAACCGCCAGCGGTCGGTTCCAAACTTGTGGTTCGAAGTACCATCGTCCTCTCCAGCACCGGTGTACCGCGCTCCAAACTATCCAGGGGTCCGGGTCGTCGCGCAGCGCCTGCTTGGTATCTTTGAATTGTTTTCTTACTGCGGCTATGGTGCACAATCCCGATGCCAGATAATCACTCATCACGCGCCTCTGCAAAAAGTGGAGAGTTGCCCAAGGCGGCCCCTAATCAACCCCGGGTTACTCATCTCTCCTTCGCTAAGCCTTCCAGTGATCCGATTTTGTTGGTCTTTGGCTTGGTCGATGCTCAGGGTGCGAGCCTACGGCAACTCAGGATCTTCACAAACCTTTGGTTGATCAACGTCAAAAGCCCGGTTATCCCCCAGTGAACATCCCAATCCCCACTAACATAGACTAAAATGAGTGGTGCACCTACCCCAAAATGGGATCCCAAAACGGTCTTGACAACCACAGCCATGTCCTTACAGACCTCCGTTCTCGAATTGTCCCCGGGTCCCGGCTCGGCTCGCCATTCAAAGAGGGCCCCAAAGGACCCTTGTCGCTAAAAAGCCCCCATTCAAAGGGTGCGGATTGATTTCGGGAATGCTTTTTTTCTCTTAATTTAAAAAAACGATTTAAAAACAGGGGAAAAAAAGAAGAAAAAAAAGAAGAAAAAAAAGAAAAATAAAAAAAGGAAAAAAAACAAAGAAGAAGAAAAAAAAACACACACACACACACACATCCCCTCCCCTCCCCCTCCTTCCATAGAGACCCCCCCGTGGGAAGGCGCACCACCTTCAGCGCCGAGGGGCGTGCGATGGGCGTGCTCCAGGCGCCGACTCTGTAGATGTCCTGACCGGACGCAAACATTTTTCCCGTTTTGGGGACCCGAAATGGAGGACATCACCAGGCTGCCCACTTTTTTTTTCCCTGATGCCCTGCTAGAAGTGCTTAACCTTTGGCTTGGCGGAAACGATACCAAGCTGAGGGGATGGCTGGGAACCACCAAGATCGGAATTCGGCACAAAGATTCCTGTTCTCCACTTGCAGGGTGGTTTTCTGTGGTTCTCTACTCATTCGTGGAAAATATTCGCCAAGCCGGAAGGTTTGCGGAACCGGGACCAAAGGTCAAGTCGGGGTCTGCAACCCAGCTTTCAGCACGCCTCGTTTCGCAAGGGGTTGGTCTATCTGAGCAAGTGGATCACCGTACCGTCACCATGCAGCGGGGAATCGATTTCCAGCTTTTCAGAACCAACCGGGGGATTCGCTAAAAAACCGCTAGTTGGATGGTTTTCCAACTCATTCCTTGAGAACCGGCAAGTATATATCCTCCACTCCAAACAACCCTGAGTGAGTCGCCCTATGTCCCTATTATGTCCCTAAGTGAGCATAGACTGACTATGTTGAGCTGAACGTGTTATGCAGGTGCAAAACAAAGGTTGCGATCTTGTGGCGTGCCCGTGCGTTTTCCTGTTCCAGAAGAAAAGGACTTTCGTATAGATGGGCACTCCTTTTCAGACGTCTCAAAAGCAACATCAAGTGGGAACTCACAGAACCAGATTCTCCCTCGTCCATGTCCAACTAGCAGGAGCACAGCAAAGTTGCCTTCACAGGATTCGACTGCCCCCCCCCACCTCCCCACCCCCCCTCCGCCATTCACAAATGCCTTGATAGGGCCAGGGCCGTCCTTGCCTTTGGCCAAGGGGGGCCAGTGATGATTTTTCCCCGTCAAGGACCTGAGCTTGCAACCCTTCCCGAAACCTTCGGCTGAACCGGGCGGTGCCGCCTCTCCGGCTTTCTTTTCCTTCTTCAAGGAATCTCGGAGCTTCCTGTCGAGGGTCTGAGGAACTTGCCAACCCATGAACATATCGGTCAGAAGTGGCCCCCTTTGGTGGGCATCCTTCACCTTTGGTGCCAACTACCTGGTAGTTTCTCCGAAAAGGGACGCGCCAAAGATAAGAGAAACGACACCTCACTGCGAGAAATCCGCTTTCGCTGCACGAGCGCTTGAAAACATCAAGGATGGGGATCTCTGGATGTGCAATGAACATATATATATATATATGTTTGTACATATGTATACATGATATATATATATATATATATGTGCAACCCCCCCCCCTCCAAAACCCAGGTTTTGAACCTGGACAATTGCCACAATCACTAGGAAAAATGCTACTTTTGAGAAACATGTGTATTTTCGCCTCTGCGAAACGCATATTTTTCAATTTCAAGGCAAGTTCAATTAGTTAGTCAAACAACCAGTCAGCAAGTCAGCTAATTAGTCAGTTAAATAGTTGTAATGAATGAGCTCTGAAGCCAGTTAGCTAGTTAATTGGCTAACCAGTTAGTTATCTATTTAGCTGCCTAGTTAGTTAGATAGTACTGAAGGTATTTCCCTAATATTCCCCTTCCCTGACTAGTGAAATATTTAGGGAACACTAGCTAGGGGTATACCAACAGATACTAAAGGAATACTAGCGCAATACTAGGGGAATACTAGGGCAATACTAGGTACATACTCAGGGAATACGAGGGCAATATTAAAGGTGAATACTGGGATAATACGCCGGAGTACTGAGGGAATACTAGGGGTATACTCTCAAGCTCAATCTGTCTGATTTCTCTCAGGCTTCCTGACTAGGGCAATACTAGGGCACTACTAGGGAAGTACTAGGAAAATATTTATAGGTGAATACCGGAAGAATTCTAGGAGAATACTGAGAGAAAACTAGGGGTATACCAACAGAATACTTAAGGAATACCAGGGCAATACTCAAGGTATTCCCCTAGTAATTCCATCCCTTTACTAGGGGAAATAGCAAGGGAATACTATGGGGTAGTGAGGAATTACTAGGGGTATACCAAGAGACTACTAAATTAACTGAATACTAGTGCAATAATATGGGAATACTAGGGCAATCATAGGGCAGTACTAAGGAAATACTCAAGAAAGACTAGGGCAATATTAAAGGTGAACACAGGGAGAATACTAGGGGAATTCTGAGAGAATATTAGGGGTATACCACGAGAATATTTAAGGAATACTAGGGCAATACTGAAGGCATTCCCCTAGTATTACCCTTGCATTACTAGGAAATACTTGGGGGCACACCAAGAGAATACTAAAGGAATACCAGGGCAATACTAGGGAAATACTCAAGAAAGACTAGGGCAATATTAAAGGTGAACACAGGGAGAATACTAGGGGAATTCTGAGAGAATATTAGGGGTATACCAAGAGAATATTTAAGGAATACTAGGGCAATACTGAAGGTATTCCCCTAGTATTTCCCTTCCCTTACTAGGAAATACTCGGGGCATACCAAGAGACTACTAAAGGAAGACTAGGGCAATACTAGGGAAATACTCAAGGAAGACTGGGGGAATACTAAAGGAGCATACTAGGAGAATGCTGACAAAATACGAGGCTCAATTTGTCTGGACAAGTCACCAGGGCAATACAAGAAAACTACTCAGAAAATACGAAAGCGTCGCATGCGTTCTTGAGGTCAGCAAAGGTCATATCCTCAGGCTCCTTGGCCATGCTAGGACAGGGTCAGAACAAAGGGCAGAAGAGGAGTAAGGAAGCGCTGGAGCCAGAC